GACCGCCGCCTCTTCCGACGCGAAGGCTGCCGTCGCTACGCCGGGCCACGACCTTCAGCGCGCGCACTTCCGGCCGGAAGGAGGGGGACGCGCGGCGGGCCCGGGCGCGTTTCTGTGACGCACTTCCTGGCGTCAGCTCTGAAGACGGAAAAGCGGTGAGCCGGAGCGCCGCGCGTCCGTGCCGCCAGCCGACGGGGCGGCTGCTGGCCTCCCGGGCCGGGCCTCCTCCGAGCCGCGCATCATGGCGTCGGAGGGGCCTCGGGAGCCCGCGGGCGAGGTGAGGACGGCGCCCCGGAGTGGGGGCGGCGCGGGGCGTCGGGGCGGCCGCGCTTAGCCGGGGGAGGCCGCGGGCGCCGGGAGTGCGCCCCCACGCCGGCTCGCCGCGCTCGCGTCTAGGAGCTCGGGCAGACGTTGGCCGAAGCGCTGGCCTCCGCCCGGCCTGCTCGGCAGCACCGCTAGATGGAGCCCTGGCGGCCGCACCAGGCGGCCCTCGAGTGGTTTCTGAGAGCGTCGGAGTCAGTCTCCCCGTGCGGCCCTGAAGACCAGGTTTTACGTTCAGAGCCCCAGGCTCTGTGACAGTAGAGTGTCCTTCTAGCAGGGCTGGCTTTTGCTTTCCAACAAAACAACTCTTAGTGGTTCGCTGAGCGACAAGAAAGGATTTGTGTAACTTTTCTTTTTTGAGAAATTTGATGGAAACGAACTTCCGCAGTGCGTTTGAGTCAGCCGTCCCGCGGCTGGGTTTGCTCACGGCAGTTTTCGGTTCTCGGTTATCCGTAACGACAGCGGGGAGGGAGACACTCCTGTACTGCAGGTTAGGGCTGAGGGAACTTTGTAAGTGGTCCTGATTCTTTCACCGGGATGGGACTTTATTTCCACTTTCATTGCTTGCCCCCCCCCCTTTAATATTTAGTAGACCACTTCTTTTAGTAAAAAACCATTGAGGGAGAGGTTGTTAGCAAACAGATTCTCGTTTTTTGAGGTTGAAGTATTTGGACAACAGACACTCCTGCGACCGGCATTTCTGGGACTGCTAGAACCCAGCGACTTTCCTCGGGTTTTTTGTTCACATTTGCTTTACCTCCAAATGTAGGTAGTCACCCTCCTCCCCCCACTTTTTTCCTCAGGGCATCAAGTTGTCAGCAGATGTCAAACCATTTGTCCCCAAATTTGCTGGGCTCAGTGTGGCATGGTCAGAGTCTTCGGAAGCACGTGCGTTCCCTAGCTGTGCAGCCACCTACTATCCGTGTGTTCAGGAGCTTCCTGTGCCTCAGTATGTATCCTTCTCGATACCTTGCCTTCCCTGGGGACTGGATGGGGATTACACTTTCAAGTATGCTGCACCTAACATAGTCCGTGTTCTCAGTACGGCCAGAGGGTAGGATGCTCCTCAGCCAAGAATGGCCTGAGGCAGTGGCACAACTTAACCTGCCCTACACCCAAAACGGAAACCTCAACTCTCCATACTCACGCAGTTATTTTGGGCAAAGAAGGTGTGGAGGTTGCATTGCATTCACTAGTTTCAGGGTTCGTTTTTGCAGGGGGTCTGAAACTATCACATGTCTAACGGGAGATGAGGTGGCTGGGGGTGTAGAGAGGAAACGGGGCAAAGACAAGTCCAGAGAAATCAGCATGCTCTGTGGTTGTAGGGTGTAACATTGTAAAATCTTGCTTGGGGAAGGGGAAGGAGTGGGGGCTTGCAACCATGGCTGCTCTTTTGTTGGATAGTTCTTTGGAAATTGCTGAGGTTTGCATTCCACTATTTTTCTTTAGAAATGTCCCGTGGAGTTGGATTCTAGAAGCTTTGGTTATAAAATTCTTCTAAGTTTGAATTGAGAGAAGGCTTATGTTGGTTTTTCAATTTTCCTTTTTCTTCTCAAGTTTCATTCTTTAGGTATTTATATGGTGGTTTGCGTTAATAGCTGAATTTAGAAAAACGTGCGTTAAACTTTTTAGGTAATTGTGTAGAGTACTTGTAGGCTTGATGCGTCACCTTTACGCTTATGTAAGAATCCTTGACTTTATGTTCCGTCCATGTGGGTCATTCTTGTTTCTTTTTCATGCCTGCTTAGTGTTGATTGCATACTTCATATAAATTCTAGATTTGCATTCACAAGAATGAAATTTGAAATGAATAATGAAACCGTCGAGTTGTTTGGTGTATATAGGTTGTACTTTTTGACAAAGTTGAAGTTCTGCTTGTATGTGCTTTGCTAGGATTACTGAAGTGTTCCACTGAGATTTCATCCTTTGTTAAAGGAAGGTTGGCATGGGTTTCGTTTGGATTGTTCCCTACCTTGGGTGGTTCACAAAGTAAAGTCTAAAATATATTTCACTCAGTGACAAGGATTCGAAGCCGTCTGCTGGATGGGATTCCAGTTACCCAAAATAATGGAAAACATTCTTACAGCTAAAGTAACGTTCTGGAAGTAGCATGAATCGAGAAGAATCAGAAGCTTAAGGATGTGCACTGCTGAATTTAAAAATTAGGTTTCTTAATCTCTTACCCTTTTTTAGCTTTGATTTAAAAAATATTTATAACCAAGGAAAAGATTGGGTGACAGTATTCCTGCCTGATGAGAAAACAGTTAAGGACAAAAGAGGCATGGGAGCAGAGGGGCAGGGTTAGGAAGAACAGGAAGAAGCCTTTGAAGGGGGCAAAACGGGGACACTTTACATATTTGAGAACCCATTACCTGGTACATTCTGATGGAGGCTAAGAAGTCTGCTTGAGCCAGGTTTCTTGTAAATGGAGATCTCTGCGATGAAAAAATGGAGTAAGGAACTTATGTTGTCTTTCCTGCCTGTCCCACTGCCTGTCTCAGTCCGTGAGGTTGGCAGGAGGTGTCATGTTATTTTTACACCTGAGAAACTGGGGCTGGAAACGTGTGTTCAAAGTCATTCAGGTTGGCAGCCCCCGAAGCAGAATGACCGTCCTTTCTTCTGACCTGCACTCATTCGAACTCCCCACAGCTGCTGCCACCGCTGGCGACAACTGCTGAGCATTTCATCGTGTTGCAGTCGGCTGTCAGCTGTGGGTGCTTCTGAGTGGAAGTCTCAGCTGTGAGACCTAGTAGTTCTGGACGGAGTGTGGCTCCCGTCTGTTTGGTGGCTGGAGGAGCTGCCGGAGCCTGACACGTCCTGGCCTGACGGCAGGGACTGGTGCGAGACTATTGGGGCGACTGTCAAGGACGAGGGACCAGGTGAAGTGCTTGGGGGAGCCCGCACGGTACAGCCGCAAAGACCAGGTGTGCTGGGTAGGAGGTAGGGCACTGCTGGTCGTGTCTTACACGGAGTCGGAACGCTCACTCCTGGATTCTCGTTCAGCTTGAAGGGAGAGGGGCATGAAGCCTCGGACTGGGTTCCAGGCACTGAAACTCGGGAAGAAATACATGGAGCCCTGCTGCCAGGAGAAAGGCTCCCGGGTGGTCCTGTGGGTGTTGGCAGGAGAGAGGCTGTGGTGGTTTCTGGCTGAGTACGTGCAGAGTGGGGGGGGTGGGAAGAGGGGCCGTTTGGGGACCAGCAGCTCAGCTTGGACTCCAGTACCGGTTAGGGAAGAGTGAGCTGTTGTGTGGGAACCGCCTGTGGGTTGGAGAGCGAGGCCCGGAGCTGGCGAAGGTGCCCGACTGCAAGTGCGTGTGTGAAGTCTGAGCAGAATGAGGAGAGGTTTGGACTCTGAGTCTGACTGGAGAGAAGGAAAGTGCCGAGGAGGGCCCTCCACGGATGAGCCTCGGAAGGTGGGAGCGGGTTGCAAGTCCAGGCTGGTGGAGCTTTTCAGGGGATCTGACAGAAGGGCCAGACCCACAGATGCTGTGGCGAGGAGGCGACTGGGCTCGCAGGAAGGATGTCCTGGAGACTCGGGATGGTTGGTAGGGATGGGGCAAGGGGAAGTGGACACAGAGGTCAGTGGGTGTTGTGGTTACGGGGGAAGGCAGGGCGGCCCAGCTGCAGAAGTGCTGCTCATATACAGGGAGGGGTGGGTGAGAAGGTGGGCGTCCGGGCGTGTGTTCTGGGCTGGGGGTCGTCTGCGCAGTTTGTGGCAACTGGAATTTTACGGACAAGCTGCTTGAAGCCCCAACAGATGCTGTGGGTTGTTGCCGTGAGATTTTACTGGGTGTTGTTCTCTGCATATCATTGCACTGGCCTTGAATGGAAAGCAAAAAACCAACTTTCCAGAGGAAGAAAGACCAGTGAGGACTTGTCCAAAGTGGAAAACTAGATTTTTGAGTTGAGCCAGGACCCAGACCGAGGGCTCTGGGTTCACGGATGCAGGGTTGCTGGATGACGCGCCTTCACAACTGCTGGACCCTGCCTCCCTTTACCTAAGTTTCTTTTTTTTTTTTTTTAAAGATTTTATTTATTTATTCGAGAGAGAGAGAACGAGAGATAGAGAGCACGAGAGGGAAGAGGGTCAGAGGGAGAAGCAGACTCCCCGCTGAGCAGGGAGCCCGATGCGGGACTCGATCCCGGGACTCCAGGATCATGACCTGAGCCGAAGGCAGTCGCTTAACCACCTGAGCCACCCAGGTGCCCCTTTTACCTAAGTTTCATTGGTCTGTTCGTTTTTCTGGTTTTTGGACTTGGGATATCATCTTTTTTACTGTGTTTTGCTATCCGCCCCTCTTTGCCCACCTCCCTTGTGAAGAACAGATCCTCCCACTCCTTAGATTTTCTGAGCTTCAAATAAAACAGGGATTCGCATCTGAGAACAGGATGATGCTTTAAATCATTTTCTTCTCTGCAAAGAACAGCACTAGGCCAGGTGTACTGAAAAAAGTACAGTAAAAAGGGTTTTTCTTGGGTTTTCACTAGGAACAGTTTATTACTAGAGTTAGTGAATGATCTTCCTGGGTGTGAACTTACTGTAAAATATCGTGGGCTCAGAGACACCAATAGCATGCTGTCCAGTTAGGTGCCGCATGCACGTGGATGCAGGGAACATTCTGGCAAGTGTGTTTCAGGTGTGGGTGGTGACGCCTTTGTCCTGCAGTGCAGGCCCTTCCTTGCCCCAGAGCAGAAATACTATGTATTTAAGAGTGCTGCCTGTGCCTCTACCCACTGGCGACCCAGCCGTGAGAAGATCGTGCAGGATGTCTCCTCATTAGCTCTGATGTTCCTGCC